GGTCCTGGAGACTGGAATGACATGGCCGCTACACAGGTATTTCCTCTGACAGCATCCCACACACACATACAAGGAATGGAAGCTTATGCAGACCTTCCTTGTAAGTGTAACATTTTAAGATTAATTATGTAGGATGCCGCTAGTCTGTTTGTAATTAACAGCTCCATCATGTCCTTAAATAGGATTCATAAAGTTAGGATTAAAAGCATGAATAATTGTACTTGTATAATATTGTTCTTATAAATTAGTTAAGCTGCATTCTAACAATCACTTTTCCTTCTGAGTTCACGAGGGAAGCTTTGTCAAATGCCATGCCAAAGAACGAGGGCTGTGAGGAAACATTGTTAACACCTGAGCCATCACTGTTTCATTTCATGTATTATATTTAATACAGCCCTGATTCATCAGGTATGTAGACTGGTAAAAGGGGGAGAGCAACTGTGTGGGCACTAGAAGTCTATGGTAGGTGTAGAGGTGTGTGAATGACTTGTGGGCTGGAGAGACTGGGGGACAAAGGAGTCAGAGGAGATGGTCTCAGGAGACGTGGCACAAGGGAAAGAGCTAGGACATGTAGAAATGGTGTGGACCTTCTGAAGGGTGGACTGAGATCTTTAATATTAGTGTTTGATTTCTCTAGGGCCTCAACAGTATTCCCGCAATAGTACAGCAGGGTTGTGTGCAAATATTTGCATTTTCACTGTGCAGAAAGTGCCAGCCCGATGTGGTACTATTTGCATCACCTGTGTACAGGAAGATGTTACTCCTAATGTAAAGCGTTGCTCAAACCAGTTTGTTTAATGTTGAAAGGACTAATGGTAGTGTTTCCAAAAGCATTCAGATGACTTGTGATCTCCAGTCCAGTCCAGTCTTCACTGCTTAAATTGAGAGATGGATTTTTCAGCACAATCTCAAATGAACTGTGAGAGATAGCTTGGTGTCCAGGTTTCCCTGGAAGAAACAGCAATAAACCTGAAGGTACTTATAGGAGAAGAGAAAGCTGGTGTACAGATTATTAATGTAGCATTAGTGAGAGAGAGAGCCTAGAGAAAGTGGAGATGAGTGTTTAGGGCATTAGTTGATCTTGCAGTGATAATTGATGGTGAGGATGTTTATGGTTGCCCGGCATCCCCCTTTTCCATAAGCAGCTCTAGGTATTCATTACTTAAAAAACAAACAAACAAAACCAAACAAACAAACAAACAGAAAACCCAACAACAAAAAAAACAAAACAAAAATCAGCAAACACACACACATTAAAAAGATCAAAACCAAGAGTCAAATCCTTAACTTCTTTTGGAGCTGATCTATTGTAGTCAATTGAGCCATTCCTGACAACATAAGATATTCCATATATATATATATGCACGTCCTGCATTTCTTCTTGAACACCTAAGAAGCATGTGTACCATTGCTGGACAGATGAATCCTCTCAGGGAGTACTGTGGTTTTGGCAGTGAACTTAAAATATCACACTTTAACACCACAAACAAATGATTTCTTTGAAAAAAATTCAAGTACAAAACTTCCAACCACACCCTTCACTTTACTATAAATCAAAAAAGCTATTTACTCAACTCATTCAGAAATAATGGTCAAGTACTTAGCCAGAGCCTGTAGGCACATGTTAGCTGATAGTATTTAATAGCAATATCTCTCTTGCAAAAATATGTCATATTGAAGTTTGTAAAATAGTACTTTTCTAAAACCTGAAGTAATGTTACTGGGTTGAAACAAAATGTCACTTTTTAATATAAGGCTGATTGTAGTCTTTGTTCTTCCTTGCCACTTAACAAGTACACATGACTAACCCAGAAATGTTTATGCAGTCATTTTGAATAAATTCAAATGATCACATAGGTTATAAATATTTATGTTGAACATGCTTGGCTTTGCAGATCATCCTGTGTAACTTGTGCAGAAGTTTTGGGGAACACAGGTTGAAGAGCAATTTCCAATCCAACAGCCCTACTCTCCAAAAGGGCAAAGAACATGTTGGGAATGTAGGCACTGCACTGTGAGTTGGGCATGGCAAGGAGGGTTTCTGCTTCTCAGGGTACTTGCCCCGTGGTGTGTTTATGATGTCTATAATTTGGATTTTCTTCACTGAGCAAGGCAAGTTATCTGAAACAGTTTTCATTTGATAACTTCAACAAGATTCAGTAATGGACAACCCAGTTTCCAGCCCCTGCAAACTGTCTTTGTTCCTTAGAACTCAAAGGCGTTATGCTGATTTACACCAGACACTGATCTGCCCTTGGGATTTGGCTGCAGACTAGCTCAGAGTTTCTGGTCAGATAATTGTAGCTATGGACAGAAACAAACGCAATTGCAAGGTTATTTAGTCTATTAAACTTGGTAACCCTTCGAAAACTGAGCGTTGACTTAATATGTCCCATTTGCAGTATCTCCAGGATTGCAGTTATATTCAACATAGGAGCTGATTTTTGAAAGTGCCATTCATCTTTTTGCAAGTGCAGTTACATTAAAAATTAGGCTGTATAGGCTGAAGAATAGGGCGTTCAAATATTCATGGGAAAGGCAACCTATGCAACAGCAGTTTGTCTCCCATTTTGTGGATGCTTTATAATCCAGCACATTGTTTTACGGTATGCACTTTTCAGATACCTTGCTTCATGCAATGTACTAACTAAATGAGCAGTCATTAAATTCTTTTTTCACCTGTCAGTGTACTTCCATTGTGCCTTATGTACTGCATTCCATACAAATCCACACTGAGGTACAAAATTATTTCCTGATGGTCTTTTCTTTAATGCTTCATAGGTGTCACCCTCTAGAAGAAATTGTATCTATTAATAGTGCTTAGGGATATGGTGTAGTTGAGAACTGTCAGTGTTAGGTTAATGGTTGGACTAGATGATCTTCAAGATCTTTTCCAACCTTGATGATTCTGTGATTCTGTAACTGTTGCCGTAGACTAGCTAGCTAGCAAAACCAACAAAGTTAGGTGCTTAGGACTGATTAAAAAAATATATTTCTCTGGGTTCCTAACTTCCCACTGAAAACCCCATGCAATCGGATACTTCAACAGGACCTAAAATCTAGAAGACTTTAGGAATCTTGATAGTAACATCCCTTCAAATCAATCCATTTATTTTAACAATATTTATATAGTTAAGATCATATTGCTCTATCCCTTTTATAGACCGAGGAGCAACAAGAACACTTACAGTCAGGTCAGAAGTGCCAGCTAGATTTTGACTCTCATCTCAGCACTTCTTCAGATCAGTCCTTCCTAAACTTAATACATAGAAGTTCCTTAATTTCTAAGTGTCACGCTGGTGACTGTAATATGTTCATTGTTTTCTAACAGTCATGGGTTTACATAATTTGCCTGATTTCACAGGAATTCTGTAGAAGAGGCTCTGATATGCTTCAGTTCTCAAGTATAGGCATTTACTGAACGCCTGAGGTAATCACCCTTTCTTTTCCCCGTTCTTCCTCAGAACCTGTGCATGGTGTGAGGAAAGGGTTTGGGGAAAAAAAAAATTAAGCAGTCATGTAACCAAAGACAATATATAAAATCTAAAATGCCACAGAAAACCTTAATTCTGACACTTTGATTTTTGAGCACTTGACTTGGCAGCCTTGCCATTCTCTTAATATCCTTTTTGAGAATGCAAACATTTAAAGCCAATGTATATATAAATTCTTGTGAAATGTGAATTCTCCCATCCTGCTGTCTTCATAATTCTTCTTTTAATGGATCATTAGAAGGTTCAGCTCTTTAGATTCATAGCACATCCTCTTCCACTTGACTCGAGAGTAGATTTGTCAGTAGAAGACATCATCTTGCCAGATTGGCAGAGGGTTAGAGAGGAGGAGAATAAGGAACTGAGGAAGAGTGGAGATTAGTGTATTTCACATGTATTAATTAATTGCATAGATAATCTTAGATTCATAAGTAGCGGGTGCAAATTCTCCAGAGAAGTGTGTTCTAAGGTTCACCTCCTGAACCTCTCTTCTGCTTAACTCTCTTCTTGCATTTTACACCCTCCCCATCTGCTTTTCCAGTCTTGTATGCCTTAACTGACTTCTGTATCCTCAAACTACATCTTCCTCAGTTGCTTCATTAGTAATGATGATGTTCTGTTAGCACTGTCCTCCCTGGTTTTGCCCTTCCTTCCCTATGCATCTCTTATCCTCCTTTTTTCTTCCCTTCTTTGGCCGTTTCTCTGCCCTGCTGTCCTCCACACTTTAGGTCTTGATTTTCATGGTTTTGTACTCAAGACTCATCCTTTCTTCATCCATTTTGCCTCATCAGAGAATGCAACTTCTTGTTTCATTCTCCTTCTTTCCATCTGAGGTTTCTTCTTTCTCCTCCTTCCCACTGCCCCCATACAGCCTCCCAGCTCCCAGCCATAGCCTCTCGCAGCAGCACAGAGCAGACATTGTGCGGTTTGTCCTGCTCAGATGCTGTTCCAACAGGTGGGTGAGTTTGGAGAAATTAGTATGAGATTAATATGAGGGAGCTGAATACCTCATTTGAGATGTGAAGGGGAGGGGATAATGAATGTATATGGATTCACGTGGGAATTTACTGGCAAACTTTTAACAGGCATCCAGGGAGAGCAAGAGTGAACAAAACTGTTCATTATGCTGCTATGTGTACATTTTCTTAGGAGATGGCAAAAAGCATATCCCTTGGCACACTACCCTGCCAAATGTCATGTCTCTGATTCAAAACTCGGTGACACTAAAATATTCTCAGAAAATAATATGGTTAGGTTTGTTCTTACTATTTAAGTGTGAGCAAAATATCTTTTTCTTTTACTAAGTTTTCAGAAATGGCTGGCTCATTCTTACTGAAAGTTCCCAAAACTTGCACCTAAGGTAGGCACCTGACATAGATTTTCTCCTCAACAGTTATTTTTACAAAGGTAGAAGTAGCAGAATAAAAAATATTCCAACTGGACATCTTGAATAACAATAGGCTGTTGCTACCTGAACTATCAGTTACTGAATTAAAAAAAAAAAAAAGGGAGGGGGGGGGCAGGAAGGAAAACATCGCATGACATTTAAAGCTAAGTAATCTAAGAAAATTCTTTGCTTGAAAATGTGTGACGTTTTCTGTTTGGGAAGAAACGCATGTTGTAACTGCTCCCCACTAGACAAGAAAGTACCATTTTTGGATGAAGCTTTTTCTTTCCTTACCAGGAGTTTTCTATCTGGGTTGGTCTGGAAACAGGTAGGAGATGCCATTACCCAATTTTGTTCCACAGAGGAACATTTCTGATTTTTTTTGTGAACTGTCAGAAATTGCATTCTTTGGTCCAAGACTGAAGAATAGCTGCATTGTTTTTGAAGAGAAAAAATGTATCTGTAGTGTGAATATTTATACGTGTGCAGAATTTCATGTTTTCATTAAACCAGTGTTAAGCTTATATCACCTAAGAACAACTAGATTTTATAATTAACAATATGAAACATTAAGGATTAATTCCCTGTATTTTTCAAAAGGCACAATAAGAAATCAGGCAGGGTATGAATCATGAATGTTAACATGCTGTACCTCTATATCCCTCTTTTGACAGCAATTAGTGCAAAGCTAACTCCATATATAATCTGTGGCAAGGAGCACTGGGAGACAACTAAGAGACAGTGACAATGTCTTTAAACTGGCGGACAATTCGTACTCAACTTGGAGTTTTTAAAGTGAACTTCAAAGGACTGGCATGCCTCTTGGTCTTCACAGTGAGCGTTTGTGGCAGTGCCCCAGGGATGTGTCCAACAGCCTGCATCTGTGCCAGTGATATCGTAAGCTGCACCAATAAGAACCTCTCTCGAGTGCCAGGAAATCTTTATAAATGTATGAAAAGGCTGGATCTGAGTTATAACAGAATTGGGTTTCTGGAGCCTGAATGGGTCCCAGTGCTGTTTGAGAAACTGAACACTTTAATAGTCAATCATAATAGCATTAGCAGCATTATCACTGGAAGCTTTTCCACAACCCCAAATCTGAAGTACCTAGACTTGTCGTCCAACAACCTGAAGACACTAAGCAGCCCTGTGTTTCAGGAGCTGAGGGTTCTGGAGGTTCTTCTGCTGTACAACAATCACATAACACAGATAGAGTCTTCAGCCTTTGGAGGATTGTACAAGTTGCAGAAACTATACCTAAGCTATAACTTGCTCTCACATTTCCCACTGGACTTGTACACTGGAAAATATAAACTGACAGACCTTGTGTTGCTGGACATTTCCTTTAATCACATCCAGTTGATGCCTATTCAGCGCCTGAGTTCAGTGCCAGCCAAACATCTTAGTGGAATTTATCTTCATGGCAACCCATTTTATTGTGACTGTGTGCTGTACTCCATGCTAACCTTCTGGTATCAAAGGCACTTCAGCTCGGTGGTGGACTTCAGAAATGAGTACACCTGTTTGTTGCGATCAGACCCAAGAGGTTACAATAAACTGCCTTTATTGCACGACAACTTTCTGAATTGCTCTGAAAGCACTGTCAACAGCTCTTTCCAAGCCTTTGGGTTTATTCACGATGCCCAGGTTGGTGACAGGCTGATTGTACACTGTGACAGCAGAATCAGCGATGCGGGCACGCATTTTGTTTGGGTTAGTCCAGACAATAGATTGCTGGAGCCAGACAGGGAGACCAACAACTTCAAGGTGTTTCGTAATGGCAGCCTGGAGATAACAGATGCCCAGCTAGAGGACTCAGGGCTGTATTCCTGCATTGCAATAAATAAAAAAAGACTATTAAATGAAACCATAGAGGTTAGAATAAACGTTAGCAATTTCACAGTGAACAGGTCCCATGCTCATGAAGCATTTAATACAGCTTTTACCACCCTTGCTGCCTGTGTAGCCAGTATTGTTTTAGTACTGCTGTATCTCTATCTGACCCCCTGTCCATGCCAATGTAAGGCAAAAAGGAGGAAGAGGAAGCTGAACCAAAGCAGTGCCCACTCATCCATACTGAATTCCACACCGCCACAACAGCTGCCAGCCGATGAGAAGAAGGCTAGCACTGGTAAACGGGTGGTTTTCCTGGAACCTGTGCACGAACCAAAACACAGTCAGAACGGGAAAGTAAAGCTGTTCCCTAATGACAATATCATTGCTGAGAGTATCTTAAAAACTACTCGAACAAAATCCGACTCCGATTCTGTCAACTCCGTGTTCTCAGACACACCTTTCATGCCATCAACTTAGTTTGCTGCCCGTGTTTGTATTGTGCAGTTACATTTCTGAATACCTCCTTTGCTTGTAGCAACCATCAGAAAAAACAAATAAAAAGAGATAAAATGTTTTAAAAAAGTTTCTGTTGTCAGTCCTTAAACTGTGTCTCCTCTCTCTGTGAGTGCAGGGCCATGCAACAGTGATATCTCGTTCGGGAAAAGCAAACAGCATGGCATTAATGTGAATGTCTTCAGTGCAAGCTTAGCCTTGGCTTTTACTCTCTGGTCCATACATAGCAATTTCTCATGCATGTTTAGAGGTGCTCTCAGTGCATGCAGCTGACTCTTCAGAGGCGGAGTCTGACCCCTATAAAACACTCTCAGTCATGCTGATAACTCAGCTCCTGTGCAGTGAGCACAGAAGCAAAATCAGAAGGGTACTGAGGAAAATGTCCAGACTTCCTGAATTCCTTTCACAGGCTTATAAAATCCTTACAGTAAAATCACTAGGGGGAAAAAGTAATGAGTTCCTTTGGACTGATCAGAACAAAGGATTAGATTTGGCACCAGCATGCATAGCAGCACTGGATAAATTTTTATGGCCTTCAACTGATAATGTGATGCTTGAAAACTTTAAATGAGGGGCATTGTACTCATTTTATTCAAAACTTAGTCATGGGATTACTCATGAGAAGCAAAGTGGTTGTATTTGTTTGTAAATATTGACACATAATGAAAACAGGTAGAAGTTAACGCATTACCTTTGAAATTGTCTTTATCAAGGAATGAAACTTGTCAGTCATGAGGACTCAAGCTAATTAGCACTAACTCATTAAGCTACAATAACTGGATTTATTATAGTCAGTTGTCTTAATCTCTGAAGCTTGCTGTGGCATAACACAGTAAACAAGCCTAACACCATCACCAGGGCTTGAGCTTCATTTTACGTGTGGGTGGCTTCTCTCCAGAGGTAACTTCATGAAATAGGGGGAGTATTTCAATCAATCTCTCCAGTGTCACATGGTTCCATCAAGTGGTTATAAAATTTGCTTCCTAAAGATTTTTCTTAAAAGAGGAAATACAGTATTTAGTCAAACTCATTAAAAATATAAAAGACTATGCACCGTGAATTCAGAAAGCACAGCTTTTCTCTAGACTTGGCCCTTGTCTAATATGTACTGTTTCCTTCTTTGTCTGAATTGTTGGACTAGATGATTCTGTGATTCTGTTACATTGTCAAAGTTTATGAACATGGTAAGACTGGCCTGAACTGGTGATGCAACATAGGTTGCATGAAGTGTTGTGTTATTGTAATGAGCATGCTGTTCTATTTGTTATTTCTTTTTCTGTTAGATTTGCCCCCTTTTTTTTTCTTTTTAGCTTACTGGGACTGGGATAGACTTTGCCAATCTTTCTCACATTGAATAATACCAGCATCAAAGGATTTCTGCAAGGAATTACAGCTTACCAAAGAAGAGTAATTGGAGCATGTCTGTCTCGTTGTATCTTTGGGGAATATACTGAAAGGGTGAAGGATAAACAAAATCAGAATTAAAGGGTTACATGGTATGGCAACTGTAATTTATTTTTGAGAGGCTTACTGTAACAGCCACATGCCATTTTTTGTGATTTCTTTTGAGAGACATGTCATCATGCTAAAGCTTATATCTGGCTGAGCCAAAGCTGTCAACAATTGATTTGCTATGGAGAAATCCTGACGTAGCTAATTGTTTGAAAGAAAGCTATCTGAAAAACAGATTAGATCAGGAAACACTGCTGCTGTGATGTGCACAATGTGGAATTAGAAAACTGCTAGAGATTTTAATTCAGATATTCAGGGAAATGGAAGATGGGAAATGTTTTTTCTAAGCAGAGGATAATAAATATTTAGGAGAGAGACATGACCACACATTTGGGTCTTTTCTTTGTATATTCATCTGTGTAAATTTAAACATGGCTTCAGCTATCAAGAAGGTTAGCATCCTTTCATAAAGCTCTTTCCCTCTTTTGTCTGTATACGTGCAATAAACCAAAATCCTTATGTTTACATACAAGGTATGAGGAGAAAACAGTGACTGTCTTTGCTAAAATCAGTGATATAGTTGGGTCATCTAACAGTGAGGCAAAGGCTTCACACTGTCTCCTTCTCAAAGATTTTTTTATTGAAAGGATTAAGCTAAGCTGCGTGATCTGCTGCTGTGCCACGCACATGGTGGGTGGCTGTCCCCTGCATTGCACAAGGAGACAATCAGCAACCCAGAGCCAAAGGGCTGAAATGGTGGTGAGGCAGAGTAGGAAATGGAGAGGCAAATACTCCCATGGAAAGTTGTACAGATCAGTTACAGCTCTGGGCAGATATTATGCTCTGTTGTCATACATGAGCTTAATTGACCCAGATTTTGGTGTTTACACAAGAGCTCTGATGGTCGGTTCCAAATTGGGCTGAAAATAAAACATGCTGTCATCAGTGTGGCTGGGAAACAGATGTATACATCTCTTTAGCAGCTACAGCTGAGCAGGTACACCCCACTGCTGTTCACAGTGCAGTGCAGTGACCATGCCGCATCAAACTCACCGTGCATTTTAAATCTGCATGGTAGTCCTAAATAAAGAAGGTAGCAATCCTGCAGCCTTCCTTCCATGGGATTGTTGTTCTCCATCAAGACATGGAGATTTGTGGGATCAGAGTAATTCTGCTAGATGACTAGAGAAGCTGAGTGTGGATCTAAACAGCAGACGTTTACTGTGACTATTAATTGTCTGTATTTTACTGACTGCTTCAAAGTACTCACAGTTATAATTGTGATTATGAACAAGGTGGTAAAACCAAAGCTTTTGAGAGAGCTGATGGCTTGTTTGCTGCTTCTTTACATTATTACAGCCTCGTAAGTTCAATAGGTGCAGCTTTAATAAAGATTTTTAAAGTCTTTACTGAATATTTATCATATAACACCAACACCGTAGATCTACAATCCCTGTCCTCTTGGAAGGCTGTGGAAAGGCAATGCAGCTCAGCTGTTCCTCTCTTCCCACCACAATGCAAGCCCCATGAGGCACTGCCATCCAGCTCCACAGTCACGCAGTGCTCTGGATGGTCTCCTGGACAGGAGGGGTTGCTCAGATATCACACCAGTAACTCCAGTGTGGTCCACCCTCCTAGTGAGTCCTCCTCAGCAGGCCTGTCCTACCACCATGTCATCCCCATTAGCCTATGTCCTGGATTTCCTGTTGCTGCTTCCAGCAACTACCAAAGAGCTCAATGATATTTTTAATACAGAGTGAGCTCAGTCCTGGCAAGCTGTTCAGTGCTCTGGCTGCAGTTCAGCCACGCTCTTAAAATGGGTTTGCATTAAGGCAGAGGTACCAACCCACTGGCAAGAAGTCCCTGGTTGGTCATGGAGTCACTGCCTCTGCAAGATGCCCAGAATGAGATATTCCACATGCAGCTCAGATAACCCCAGGTGAGTTTTGCTCTCCCTTGTCTTCTTTCTAGTGCCTGAGACTGTGCCACACAAGGTCATAGGCAGGGCTCTAAGCTATACCTCAATACTATGTCTTTCTGTGGGGCTTCTTTAAACCTAGGTCCTCTGCCACTTTAACAGTGATGATCAGCTTTTCTCTTACTCAAGGACCTATTGCATCAGTTCCAGCTGTCTCATAGATCACAAATAAGGGTAATGGCTGCAGACAGCTCTGGAAGGTCATGTCCTTGCCTCTGTGTATTTCCAGTACTGCACATGCCTGCAAGGCATAAGCTTTTGTGGAGTGCGTTGGGAACGGGTCGTGTCAGGCCAGCATGAAACCTCTTAGGCCAGTCCTGAGCATGGCAACAGCAACTGCACAACCGCATTGTCCCCATATTACCTACCTGTAGTGGCAGGTGAAAGGGAAGGCTGCTAGTCCTCTCTTCTGACCTCTATAAGGTTAAATATCTAACTGCAACCACCTCACTAACGATGAACACGTACAATGGCTGACTGCCCCTCAAATACACTGGGCAGCTGCCAAGGAAGCTGGAAGCAGAGGGTGAACCAAAGTGCTTTCCTGATACCAGCCCTTAATTTGCAGCTGATTGTAACAGCCAGCACCATGTCCTTTTAGCCCAGATGTTTACCCGCAACGTGTTAGGCAAATAGTGCTCCAGGTTAGTAATGTACCTATCTCCCTAGCATTGCTTCTTCGAAAAGGCAGATTTCTGGGTACTGCTAATGACAGTGTCAAAGGACTAACGGATTATATAGCTCATTTTTCTGAAAAAGCAAAACCCTAGGGTCAAGTTGTGATTAAACCATAAACTTTAGGATAGCACAAGATTATTTCTTCCTGCTAGAGTAAATCAACCTCCTTCAGAGTACTTTTATACCTTGACTGGAGCATATTCCTAATAACCTCTCATGTCTCTGAACTGGGTGAGAATAAATCAGTCTTTATGGGACAAAGCATGTTATTGTGGTCATCTCTAAAGTGACAGTCCCCTGTGGACTACAGCTGCTGGCCATCCCGCCCAGAACACTCTTCTGCTCTCTTCATTGAGGCTGAGCCATCACCATTTCACCGTGGCAGGCTCAGGGACTGTTTCCAGCCTCTTCCTTCATAGTTCTCTGTGTCAAGACTGGCTTTGAAGATGGTTTCTGGATGTACTACAAAGCTGCTGGAAGGGATCATTTTAATTGATTAATCAAAACAGCTACTTCCAAATGGCTTCTAAATGATGAGAACTGGCATTAGTAAGTAGTAGCTTTTGAGAAGACAGGATACACTTTTCATTTACAGATTGAGCAATTTAGATTTTAGATTTTACTTTTTGCTTTTTCTGGTAAACAATACTTGAATCAATATATATAGAAAGAGAGTACATATTTAGAGATTTTTTTTTCCTATGTTTCTTTCACGTATTTCCATTTGTCCAGTAGGGCTCAGATGTGGAGGAGAAATTTGAGATTGAGGAGGATAAGGGAAAGAAATAATTCTGGCCAAAGTTCACTGGCTAATATCTGAGGTCTTGCCTTCAGTGGGTACATAAAAAAAATAATTTTAAAAATTGAAAACATTACCTAAATACAGATTTCATGAGTGTCTGGGTGTTAGCAGAGTTCTGACAGTAATACAGGTATGAAAGGGATCCATACAAAACTAAAGCGTAAGAATATCAGTATTTGTTTTTGAGAATTGGTTGAAGAGGTCATGCCATAGGTAAAAGGACCATACCTCTCTTCATTACTTAATAGAAAGTTCTAATTTAGTGTTAAAGAACTGAACAGATGCAGTGGAGAAAATATTTTTCTTGTGAATTGCTGGTTTATGCTCTGATTATATCAGGTGAATTTTTTTCCTTATATAAATCTATTTTTCTTTCCTTTGCAGAATTACTTAATTAACTGGAATAATATCTTCTCATTTAGTTCTCCTAATGAAGTCTACATTTGGTACGTGAGGAAAGGAGGGTCAAGAATGATACAATCAGTTTGACGGCACCTAGATATCAGGAAAAGTTGGTTGTGGATATAAGTGTTTTCTTTGATTAAACATGAGATTATCCAGGCATAGAACTGTGGGTTGTTATCATTTAACTGAAGCTTTCTGTCTCATTGGAATAATTCAAGTTGTCATATTTTAAGCTTTTTATTTTAAAGGAGAAAGACTGTTTGTCTTTCTATTGCATCAACTTAGAGTAAATTGATCTAGAAACCATCATGTGAATGGTTTCATGTGAAACTACTCTCTTAGCATAAAGCAACTGTGGTATACAGAGAGGCTGTCCATATGAATATTTCTGATGACAGTCCAGGATCAACTGTAAGTATTTCCTTGGCAATCTAGAGACAAAATGTGTCATGCAGACCTTTCCTAGACAAGCAGGAAGATATTTTCTTCAATCAGATTGGCTCAATCAGCAAACTCAGTTGAGATCCTTATTTAGCCCTTACCACAAATCACCTTTTGAATTCAGCACCTTTGTTTTCACTTTTGAACTATGCATGGAGAATCATGAGCTGCTACGGCATATATCCCTGATAGGAACATCAGGAAAAGAGAGCAGTGGGGACAGAGTGAACATGTTTGCTCAAGAGCTGCCCAATACAGTACACTGCCCATTTCTCTCCTCAAGGGTTAATGACCCTAAAACCAAAATGCTCACCAGACACCCTCTCCAGAGGAGGTGGAGGCTCAGATATCTGCTCCTGCCACAGAGCACAGAGCCTCAGCAAGTGCAAATGCTGCCCTTTGCATAAGATAAAATGTCCTTTCACAGAAATGAAAGAATATCTAGCACTTTCCCTGGTAACTGAGGTGCTGTCAGCAAGAACATACCGCAAAATAAATTAGCTCTGATAAGCACTGCTGTTGCCTGGAGCAGCTCAATTAACCTTTTGCACTTGGAGTAGAGGGTTTTATAGCACTAGAGCCTCAGAACAGGCTACATGTGACTTGTCCTCTTTGCTCTTTTTTTCCTGGCACCAGGATCACTGAAAACCGCTGGTTTTGTTACATTTTCTACCTGAGTATTTAGAACAAACAAAATCTTGATCCTTTCCCTAGGCACTCTACTGTTGCCTAATCGTTGGTGAAAGGGAAACAAAGTTTTTCTCCTTGGTTTTAGTGCCAGAAATTAGATTCTTTCTGATTTAAGCCATAGAAGAACAGTGTTGGTATGGTGTTACTACTGCTACTAACATGCTCAGATATATCAGTCAGTTCTGGATCCTGCTGAAGAAAATGTTTTGCAAAGGATGTATTTGCTTCTCTGACCTTGTTTTTAAAGCAGAATTTAATATACTTGAGCTATGGCCCAAAATAATTTCAAACCCTCTCTTTTAAGCTAACATTCATGATCTCAAGTGAATGACATTTGTATTTGTAATCCAGTCAGTAATTCTGTAATTTGGGGATGAGAGAACTTTTCCTTGATTTTATCTCCTTGCCTTCCCTTTTTGTCCATATGCTGAAAAGATAGTTGATCTATTTTTCAATGCATGTGTTTCCCCTTCCCTGTTTATTTTGAAGCATGGATAATCGCTGTGTACAATTTAAGCAAAATTATCATGTTGCAGTGAATGGTTTCTATGATGCACATGTTCTGTAGAGATAAGCTGATTTTTTGAGTATGCTGTCCTGTATAACATTTGACATTTTAAAAATATATTTAGATGTGCTGCTATTATTGTTGCATTTGTGATATATAATTTTCTTAATATTTCCTTCCCATTTCAGAAAAAAAATACAATAAAATTTCAGAAATCACTGCATTTACTAAAAACAGTCATTTTTGTCCTTTAATGCTGTAATGTTTTTGTCTTTTAGTATTCCTGCCTATTAATTTACACCTAGTGCAGAGTCAGTCTGGCATTCAACAGCACCTGCTTCATATCAGAGGTAAAAACAGGCTTCTTTCCTTCACCTAGCAAGGAAAACACTTTTTTTCTTATGAATAACACTTCACCCCACATACACAAAGTCTGTCATAAAATTTGATCCTAGACAAATTCTGTGTCCGGTTTAAGAAATGTTACAGGTATATAGAAGCTACATTCTGCTTATTTATTCCGAAGAATTTTATTACTGGGTTAGCAATGTGGCTGTTGGCATTATCATTTTGTATTAAAGAAAATGAATTCTCATTGGTGCTCCATCTGCAAAATTGCTGTTGCAAAGTGCTGTTTGCTGTATTCCGACTGCATATGATGAATTCCCAACTCAATCATGTGCCTGTCATCTCGTGTAAGTGCTTGAGAGTGATAAGAATGCACACGGCCAGCTCTTGCAGCACGGCCAGACCCTGCTCCTTTTATACTCAGAGGGGAGAAATTGTTGGAAAGCATGCCAAAAAAATCAACATGTGTACTTGGCACATTTGTGGTGATTTGTAATTTCTTCATAACAAAGAAATGCAATAGAAGGAAGTTTTAGAATTCTCGTCATCACGATGTATAAAAAGGTTATAAAGCTAGCCTGTCATTACTGTACCATTATCATATCCTTCAAAAGTATAAGTAAATCTCTCCCTATCCAGTATATACAATAGTATCACATTAGGCCTATACAAAACCCCACACTCTCTGGGAATAACTCAGAGCTACAGGTATATTTCCTGGAGCTGTCCTGCAGGTCTTGCTCAGTAAAGCATAACTTGAAAAATTTATGTTTGTCTACTAGAAAAAAACACGGACTACACTAGTTTTTATTACCAGTGTGGTTATGTCCCCTGCTGTATTATGCAGGGTGCATTTCATAGTGATGGCATGTGTGAGGGAGGCCCTTTTTCTTATCAAAATGGTGTTCAAAAGGCAGAAGTCTGGGGCTCAGAGGTGGTACTGTTTTCTTGCCATCCAGAAGTGATGAGCTTCTCTTGTGAAGAGCACAGGCTGCAATTTGTTAAAAAGAGAAACACTGCAGAGGGAAATTTTTGCCAGGAGAAACATACTACCCTTTGAGCTAAAGATGGGAAAATAACATACAGAAGTCAAATGTCAAAACTGAAAAACAAAAGCAGTACCTGAACCTTGTCAGGGACTCAGACTTTTGAAAGTATATTCAATCTTCATACTGTCTTAATGATTTCCTCCTGAGTAGAGAACTGTTGTGTCAATAATGCAGGTGCAGATCATCCCAGAAATAAGACCTTACCACAGACAGAAGAGAAGTACTTTCATGTTATTTTTCAGTTGTCATGTCATGAGTTCAGGCCACTTTGCTCACAGTAGGTAAATGATAGTAACAATAATCCATGGTCTCCCTAAGAGGCAGTGGGTAATTGGGACTGATTTGTAAGTCCTATTACAGGACAGGGACCTGTGTATTTCATTAAGTTTTTGAGCTTTTGAGTAGATCTTTTACTATCTCCAAGCCATCACTTGTAAAAATAAATAACTTTCAGGCGAGATGCTGAAGTCTTGTCATTGAAGTAGGAGTGTTTAGGATTTTTATTTTTCCTCTACAGAAAATCAAGTAATTAACTTAATTATGCCCTGAAGAAAGAATGTAATATTTTCTTCTTTAAAGCTATATTCACTAAAAGTTGTGACATTGCAACAGTATGTGTGTGTGCTGCCATCAGATTTGCCAATTAATATTGCACCGTTCTAGTGGGAGGAGAAGAACTGACACAGTAACAGGTACATCTCTGGAGACTAAATGTAAAAGATGAGGATTGCTCTATACAGGTCCCTAAACAGCCAGTGTGGGAGCTCATGTTCTCGTGGAGACCAGAAGAAACACAACTCTTCTGGCTGCTAACTGCACTCAGGTGGACCAACTGCAGCTGTCACCAGAATGGATGGATGCCAGAAATTTCAGGTATTCCAATACACTGATATAAAGCAAAGAAGGATTAATCTTATCTTTCTCATAAGGAATGTTGTTTGTTTTTTTTTTCCCCAAAGCTCATGAGAGGAGTTTGACCAGACTTACAGGACTTGAAAAAGAAGCTTCATGTATGTGTAGGAATCTGTAAGCTACAATTTGTGACTGTTGATAACCACTGTGGAAATACAGTGTAATGGTACTTTGGTAATGCCTACTTTAAGATCTAACTGAGCATGTTTGTAGAGCTTGATTCATCAATAGCTGGAAAACATTTTGATTTCTTGTGACAGGAAGCATTATAGTAGCTCATATTATATTAGAATGTTTCCATACCATGGATGCTTGTTGTATGCCTGTTGTACTTCAGAGAAAAAATACTTTCACAGGTGGGTACTTATCAATAAACAATGTCTGTTTTTTCAGATATATTATGACATTAGTTGGTATGATCTTAACGTTTTCGTACAAGTACTCCTAGACTGTAGTCTGCTGTCTTCTGCTTAGGTTGAAGAGAAATATTTTCCTCCAGAGGATGGTTTAGAGTTTCAGTAAGCCTTTCTCTCTGCACTGACCACACAGGAAAACTAGGGAGACTAACGTCACTGAATGTACATTAGCCTGTGGGAATATTGCCATAATGGACTATTTGAGTCTAACTTTCTGAATCCTTTCAAAAGGCCATGCTCTCAGCAGTGGCCAGTGCTTTTCTGTAACACC